TGAATTTGAAGGAGACAAAAATTTTGCCCATAATCACCTCCAAATGTATGCTAATGTGTACATGCCAATTTCATGAGATAAGCCACTTAAACTCCAATTAAGGAAAGCTCGTTTTTCAGAATGAGACAGCATTTCGCAGACAAGGCACCTGAACACCTTATGCAAAATGTAGATATAAATCAGGGTTATTTATATGTTTATTTGGTAAAGAAAGGATGGCTCCCAGTCCTCAGCGAAGCGTTGGGAAAACGCCATTTGGAGCTAAAGTTCTATTAAGCTGTGAAGTCCAGCCCCAGCCTGCTTTCTCCTCTCTTCCAAGTACTCCTTCCTCCTGTTCTAACTGCCTGTTACAGACAGCCAGGAAGGCACAAAGGCCCTGCCTTGGAAAGAAGGTCCTATGTGGTTCTTGCAGTGGTGGAACTGGGACATCTGATCCAGGTAAGGAGCTCAGTCATGCCAGGTACCCAGTGCTGATGTAGCATCAGATAAAGAAAAAGATCCCTGCCAAAAGCCCTCAGGGTTGCTAGAACACTCTTCTTTCCCATGCGTACAATGGAGACATAATACATGTCCCTAATAAATGATGTTAAGACAATGTGCTACACAGAAATCTTAGAGGAAAGAGCTACAAAAATATAATATATATATATATATATAGCTTGAATTTGATTTCTTCTGGGCACATACTTACTTCTTTCCTGTGTGTGTATGTATGTGTGTGTCTCTCTGTGTGTGTGTATGTGTGTGTTGTGTGTGTGTGTGTGTGTGTGTGTAGATATTTCCCAGGAGAGATATACATAATATACCAAATTAATTCTTGTGGTTTCACTGGTGAATACATAAGATGTGAAAATTTCTTTCCAAAGTTCTAAATATTTATAGAGCATGTCCAAAGATTATATAATCTGAAAACAAGTTAAATCTGAATCACTTGGTTTCACCACTTCCCACATCACTTTTAGATTGGATTTACTGTCTCAACAATGGTAGATGCATTTCTTTCTTAGGTTTACCAATCAACCCAGGCAAGCTTCAAAGACTACCCAAGAGTGACCTCCTTGTGGCAATTTTAAGTTTACTGGAATGAGGCGGTCTCAAAGCTTTTTCTAAAGCAGTAAGCTCTGATTTCTCAGAAAGATACACGTTTTTTTTTTTTTTGGCGAAACGTGACTCTATTAAGCAAAGAAGCCACAGATAATGTCAACTGCATGTATCCTGTATTACCTACAAGTTTGTTCTGATTGGACTGTCAGTTGGAGAACAGCCCACTCAGAATATGAGAATGACACTTGAGGAAAGAGAAAAGAGGTGTCAAAAATTCCTAACTCATACCCTTAAAAATCTGCTTTTCCTGACAGAAGGAGCTCTGAATAAAACATCTCAAAGCTGGCCATGCCTTGGTCTAGTCTGCATTTGTTTAAAGCAGGAGTTAGTAAATGGAAGAACTTAGTATATAATGAAAGATGTTTCAAGTTAATAGGGAAAGGTGGCTAACTTAATAAGTTGGTTTTGGAACGCTAATAGCTGGTTGAGGAGAAAGGAGTTGAATTCTATTTTGCTCTTTGTTCCAAAATAAATTTCAGAAGGAAGAAAATTGGAACGTGAAAAAAGAGAACCCTAAAAATAGATAATTATAGGAAAAGAACACATGTAAGGGTGAATGCTTCATAAATCCAGAAGCCATAATGATGAAGTTGACTATGACTACCAAAGAAAGTCCTGCAGAGAATAAAAATATAAAAAGGGGGAAGAGGTAAAAATTTTGAGGAAGTAGTTACAACACTCATGAGAAGCAAAGCTGTGTGATCTCGTCTATGCAGAACTCTCCAATCATAGGAAGGCCTCCACCCAATAAAGCAGGCAAAGGTCTGACTACCTTGCTTGTGGAACATCACCATACCAGAAAGGGTCACTTGTCCTCACCCAGAGCAACCCAATGGAAGACATACGACAGGTCATACCACTGATGTAGCAAACAGAACTGATAATCCATGTGAGCAAAGTTGGGTAGAAGTCACTGGCATCTACTGGATACAATGTCTCCTGGTTTATCTTTTTAAAAGACCTCATTTGGCACTGTCCATAAAAGCTAAATGGCTCATGCCCTTTGGCTTGAACAATTACACTTCTAGGATTAGTTCTACCTGTATATGTACACAGAATCAAAGCAAGTATGCTATTGCAGAGCTATAAAGTTACAGTACCTACAAGTGGTAGCAGGGGACCAATCATAAGAATTATGACATATGCATGCAAGGGAATATGACACAGTTGAAATATCAATTCTATAGTTAGAATTATTGCTAAAATACAGCAAGTTTGCTTTTTAAAGAGCCAGATGAAGAAGTGGGTACAGCACACTCTAAGTATCTTAGTAGCGTCATTCTGACACCGGAAAGAAGAGTGGCATTTAAAGGAAGCAAAAGGGGAGTCACCTTTTTGTACTGTTTCAATTTTTGCTAAAACCATGCATGATATTTTTTTTGACCATATATATAAAAATAGAGTTGAATAGGAAGAGAAAAGGCTGAAAAAGTCTGTGGGATCTATTATTTTGGGGGCTTAGTAAGTGCTGAAGTCACTATTTCATTATAAAAAGAAATATGTCAGACACAAAGGCCACGTACTGGGTGATCAATTGATATAAAAAGTTCTGAAAATTGTCCCACACAGATGGAAATGAGATTAGTGCAGCCAGGGGTGAGGGCAGGGGGCCTAAGAGGTGACTATTTATGGGTACTGGGTTTCCGCTTGGTGTGATGAAAATGTTTGTAGAATTAGACAGTGGTGATAGTTGTACAAATCTGTGAATAGACTAAAACCCACTGAACTCCAAACTTGAAATTGGTGAACTGTGGTGTGTTGAATTTAAACTCAATAACTCTGTTATTACAAACCAAGGATTTTAATGCTTCTGGACCCGTTGCCTACTTCTTTTACCTAAAGCCAACAGATTGCTGTATTTCAATGCACATTCTACCAAGTGATTTCGTCAAGTTTCCATGTCAACTGCAAGCATTTCCAGTAGAAATGACTCAGAAAAGTTGCTCACATTTGTAAGCAGATGACAACTTGGCATGACTTGATCTCTATGTGCTGGTCAAGGGCACGCCTGTGCCTATCATGTACTGTAATAGGCCATGGAACAAGGCCTCTCCACTCCCACCCTCACCACTGCCTGTCTGGGGGCTCTGCAAGGTTAACCTTCTGCTTTTATACATTTGTGTCTCCTTCCTGTCCACAGCCACTTCCTGCAGCTGACAGAGACCCATCACCAGCTGTATGGCCCATTTCTTCCTCCTCTTCTGTGCTGGGAACCTAAGCAGCCGTTGGACGGCAGCTGAGAGCACAACAAATGGGCTCTTCTGAGAATCGGGGCCTACATTTCCCTGCATGGATGTTGTGACTGCTTTCCAGATCACTCATAAGTTTTTTGGTACAATTCTAGGTTCCCAGCTAGGCTGCAGGTGGATGAGTGCCAAATGAAGGACAGGTTTTTGAACAGGCTTTTCTTTGTGTGTGTGTGTGTGCACATGTGTATGGTACTAGGATGGAACCCAAGGCTTTGCGCATGCTTGGCCAGTGCTCTACCACTGAACTATATACCCAGTCCTTGCATTTAAAGGACTTCGTGAAGTCTGATGGTGTCTCCCCACTCCCACCATGTGTTATTAGCACACGTTTACGAGCCTCCTTGTTTTAGCAATGGGATTTTAGCTAGAGGTCTCTCCTACCTTCCCCATTCTTTGGTGACAGTACCTGGGCAATACAACTCCATTCCACTTTTGATTTCTTCCTAGATAGGGGCCAAGTTCTACAAAGTTCTGAGTCACCAGCCATGTAGCAGATCAGCATTGTCTTATTATTCTCAGCCTGGATTCTCAAATACTGTCCTTAGCCACTCATGAACTTGCTGTTCAGAGTAGCTACTCAGTATCACATTCTTAAGCCATTTGCCCTGCCAGCACTATAGGGCTGCTAGTGCCACGGTGACTTGTCTCTTTTTGCTCCTTAGTTTTCTTTCAAACTTGTCTGTTTGACAGTCTGGGAGTTGTTCTACCACCAGAGGTACTGGCGTGACCACTGCCCTGCCAGCTGCACACCTGGGTCCAGGAGAACTGAGCTTTCTTGGCCATGGAAGTCTTCCTCCGCAGAGACTCTGTAGCCTGAGACCAATTTTCATGTTAATTTTCTTAACCCAGGGAGTCCTGTACCCTGGGGACAGTGTATATTCCCCACACATCTGCCCATGACACAGGCTCACGGTTTGATTTCTCCTGGTAACTATTTTCTCCCTCACTGTAAAGGCCTGGCCTATTGGCTAGAGGTCTGATACCTGTCAGAACACCAGAGCACAGCTTTCAGCCTCATCTATGCAGATTTTTAAAAAAAATTTTTGTTCTACTGTAGCTACCATTTGCAAGTGTTGTAGTAGGATTAGCTCAATCTGTGAAGAAACGCCTTATTTTCCAGTTAAGCTCATTACCTTCATATTCAGAGGATGAGCTTAAAATCTGTTATTAGCTGAAAACAAATACAACATTTGTTTTACTTTCACGAATGATGAAATGTTGACAAAGATGATAGGTCTCTGTTCTCAAAAGTGAAGCCTGTGGTCCATTTACCTGCTCATTTGCAAAATAAAGTATTAAGTAATTTCTTTTTCTGGTTTGTTTTTTTGAGGCAGGTTCTTGCTATGTAGCCCAGGCTAACCTTAAATCCTCAATCCTCCTGACTCAGACTCCCAAGTACTGGGATTACAGGTGTGATCCATGACACCCAGCTTAAAGTGTTAAGTAATTTAAAGCTTGCTTCCTGGGGCTGGGAGTGTAGCTCAGTGGTAAGAGTACTTGCCTAGCATGTGTGAGGCTCTGGTCTCATCTCCAAATTGCAAATTCAAAGAAAAGAAAAGCATGCTTTCTTGTCTAATACACAGAGAAACAGAGAAAGGAAAAGCAATAGGGAAGAAGCAAAATCTGCACATTGCAGCTGCATGATACCTTTTGGCTCCCCCCCGCATCGGGTGAAACAATGATGCAGTTCCTCCACTCCGTGATGTTCTCCCGAATCCACTGCAGACTGCAGGCTCCGCGTATAAATTATCCACAGGAATATCAAGAATCCCTAAAGGGTGAAATGAGGGCCATATTGCAAGGTTTTGTGTTTTAAAAAACATGATTTTTCAATGCAAAGGAACTAATGCAGAAACTTTAAAGCAACAGAGGCTAGTAGGAGAAGGGGACTAGGAACTAGAGAAAAGGTTAGTTGGAGAAGAACCAATTTAGAAAGTAACACATATGTACATGGAAGCAAAACTAGGAATCTCCCTGTATAGCTATCCTTACCTCAACTAGCAAAATCCCTGGTCCTCCTTATTACTGCTTATACTCTCTCTTCAACAAAATTAGAGATAAGGGCAAAACAGTATCTGCTTGGAAGCGAGCGGGTGGGGGTGAGAGGGAGGGGTTGGGGAAAGGGAGGGAGCGGGGAGAAGGGGGAGTAATGACTCAATCATTGTATGCACATATGAATAAAGGAAATAAAAAATATATATAAAACAAACAAAAACATGATTTTTTTTTCACTAAATAATATTTAAACTCCTATTCAAAGAAACTTTGTATACAACAGATTCTCTTTCAAGTATTTTTTGGGGGGCAGTACTGGGGTTGCCTGATGCTTCCTAGGCAGGTATTCCACCATAGGAGTTGTGCCCAGCCACAGATCCTCTTTTGTTAATTTTTAACAGAATTAAATCAAAAGAGAGATTGCAAGGCACCTTTCAGTCCAATCCATTCTCAAGACATGTTCTATTACTTAAGATGGCCTATCTTCTGAGGAAGAGAACAGCTTTGCAGGGAAGTAGGAAGAAAAGGGTTGTTGGTTTTTTAGCACCTATTGTGAACTACATATTTCACATTCATTGTCTCATAAAGCAGGTACAATATAATTTGGTCTGTTTTAGAGATGAAGGAAGTAAGTTTGATGAAATTAGAAATATTATAATTCTGCCGCTCAAATCATTTTCCAGATGTTGAGACGGAATTAGATAAAGTATACCACCAAGGGGCCACTCCTGCTCCTCAAAAATTGACTGCAGGCAAGGTGCTGATAGGAGGTATCAGTATCAAATTGTATTATCAAGATGTCAGTAAAGACAAAAATCCAAGAGATAGCCATGTGGACTCAAATCAGAGTAATGCTACCTTTCTTTACAATTATTTAACTTAACAGAATTAGGAGCTAACCATTGGCAGAAAGAAAATGCTGGTACCTGTATCTGAGAAAGCATGCAAGTCCATGGTGATGATGTGATCAGCTCCGCAACCGACAGCATGTTGGCCACAAGTTTTGCAGAAATTGGAGCAACGGCTCTACAAAAATAAAGACATGTATTTGCTAACAGGGAAAGATGGACACTGTTAGAGTTCTCACACTAACACAGGTGACAAACTAAACATAGGTTTGGTTGGGAAAACTAAATCATAGAATCAACACCACATAATAAGAAAAATTACACAAGTTGTAGCAATGGAAGATGTACTAATTCCATTTTAGTCACCAAATATGCAGTATTAACATACACGATGTGCCATTTGAAGACAATGTGCCTGACGTTAAAGTACAAATATCAAAGCAGCAAACAGAAAGATACAAGTAACGTCATAACTTGTATCATTCAAATCATAAAATGTGTGTTGAGGTTTAAATAAGATGGTATGGCTGTTATAAGCCCCACTGAAGAAATCACTTTAAGGCAAGGCCAGCTAAAGCAAGAAGCATAGTGTTCTAGAAGAGCAAAATGGCACATGTGTGATCTCCAAAGCCACAACACGGTCACACAGCCCAGCCAGGGACTGAGAGAAATCTCTCTATTAAAGAAGTGTCGATGTACTGACAGCAGGAAGCTAACGTTGTTACAAATTAAAAACCATTGGAAGAAAAAATACTTCAAGGCAATTGATAATAATTTAATATGTAGAGAAATAAATACATTATCAAGTACTGACATTATGTCCTTTGTAAGTTACCTAACTTCTTTATGGCTTTAGTTTCCACATCATAATTTATGGACAACGCAATTGTTCACATCAAGAAAAAAAATCCAAGAGACTATACAGACATGATTACACTATACCAACATAACCTAGGAAGAGTTCAGCGATTTGTCATAAACGAGAGTGCTCCTACACACAAGGCACAAAAAGGAAATATAAGCTTAAAAAGAGATTTCATTCAAAATAGTAACACATAAATGATTCCATTAAACACACATCTAGCCAGGTGCTGGTGACTCACACCTGTAATCCTAGCTTCTTAGCGGTTGAGATCAGGGGGATTATGGTGTGAAGCCAGCTCAGGCAAACAGTTTGCGAGACCCTATCTCGAAAAAATCTATCACAACAATGGGCTGGTGCAGTGGCTCAAGTGGTAGAGTGCCTGCCTACCAAGCATGAGGCCCTGAGTTCAAGACCCAGTGCTGCCAAACACAAACACACACATACACAGTATATTCATGTAAAAACATACAGGGAAGAATTATATTAAAATGTTAATAGATTATTTTTAATTTCTCTAACACAGCAATTCTATTTTCTTTTTTTTTCTTTTATTCATATGTGCATACAATGTTTGGGTCATTTCTCCCCCCTTTCCCCCGCCCCCCCTTACCTATCCTGTCCCCTCCCTCTCCCCCCTCACCCTTGCTACCAGGCAGAAACTATTTTGCCCTTATCTCTAATTTTGTCGAAGAGAGAATATAAGCAATAATAGGAAGGACCAAGGGTTTTTGCTAGTTGAGATAAGGATAGCTATACAGGGAGTTGACTCACATTGCTTTCCTGTACCTGTGTGTTAACTTCTAAATTAATTCTTCTTGATCTCACCTTTTCTCTAGTTCCTGGTCCCTTCTCCTATTGGCCTCAGTTGCTTTAAAGTATCTGCATTAGTTTCTCTGCATTGAGGGCAACAAATGTTTTCTGGTTTTTTAGGTGTCTTACCTTCCTCATACCTCCCTTGTGTGTTCTCACTTTATCATGTCTATTTTCAAAAAAAAAGTATTACTTTATAGTAAAAATATGTACACACACATATTTTTAAAAGCACAAAGAAAAGAATGAGAGGAAATACCCCAAATGTTAACAGCAGATGTTTCTAGAAAGTGAGACTATGGAGAAATATTTTTCCTTTTCTTTCCTTTTTTTTTAAAAACACTTTTTCAAAAATTTCTACCATCTATATATCATGACTCCTATTTTCATTGTTTAAATCCCATGTTGCCTGTGGGATAAAACTGAATTTTCCCAGCTTTAATATCCAAAACTATCTAGTCAGTCTGGCTGCAGCCTACTCAGAACTACTCTTCTTCCTGTATTCTGGACTAGGCCTACCGACCGACCCTTCTTCTGGAAACACTGTAGCCTTACTGTACTACACACCCAGCTGGTCCCCGTTCCACCCAATGCATTTGATCCTCCCAGATCTGGTTTGAAATCTCCCAATTTTAAGGCACCCTGAGAACTCCAGAAATAATTTCCCCCTAAAGCAACTGAGCACCAAGTAAGCTTTTAGCCCCTGCCACTTGGGATTACCTTGTGGCACCTGCAGAAAGACTGACGTTAAAAGATACTGTATGTACAGATTTCATTTGCTCACAGCTAGACTCTGTGTTCAAGGGCAAACAACTGGTTTTGGAGATTATCACACCACCAGCAGCACACAGCACTGTACCTTGCATATGACAGCTCTTCATTAAATATTTTAAGGGCTAGGGGCATGGCTCAGGTGACTGTCTCTCTAGCAAGTGTGAAGCCTTGTGAAGCATGAACTTCAAGTCCCAGTATCTCCAAAAAATAATAACTATTTTAATAACAGAATCTCTATAATTTCAAATTCCCAAGGCTTAGTCACTGATTGTGAGAGTTATTTAGCCTAATAAAGTTCTAGAATAATAAAAAGAACAAATTGATCACTGTGACTTCTTTGTAATAGAATCTAATTCACAATGCTAATCAATTTTGGGCTCATCCTATATTTTTTATAAGCAGCTGCTATGGTTTGAGTGTGCCTCCTCCAAAATTCAATTGTTGCCTAATGACTGTCATAAGAAATGGGGCCTTTAAGAAGTGATTAGGACATGAGGGCTCTGTCCCTGTTAAAGGAATTAAGATCCTAGAAAAAGAGGCTTCAGGCTGCATCTGCATGTGCTTGCCTTTCTTCCTTCTGCCATGTAAGTGACACAGGATTCCTCCCTTCAGAGGATATGGACCTTACCCAGACAGTAACTAATAGTGCCTTGGTCTTAGACTTCCAGATTCTGAAATGGAGAAAAATAAATTTCTGTTCTTTCTAAATTACACAGTCTGTGGTATTTTGTTATAGCAGCACAAATCAACTAAGACACCAGACAAAAGGTCAAAACTCACAGGCACAATTCATTCATTCTTTCTTTCTTTCCTTTCTTCCTTCTTTCTATTATTATAATTATTAACACATATTAATTGTACAACTTAATGTTTTCCTTGTGACATTTCCGTACATGCATATGTCATTTACTGATGACATCCACTCCCCCTTCTTAAACCCTCTCCTTCTTCCCTGGACCCCTTCCCAGTCCCTAATAATTCACAGTTCGGTTGTTCGGCTTAATACCCCAAATGAATCTTGCAGAAAGAGTGATTTGTAAGTTAACTAACTTTATAGCTTATATAGAGAAAAATCAGTACAGCATTTAAACAAGTCAAGGCACGGGAGCCAAAACTAAACGGTTTGACTCCCCGTGTGAAAAATGTATAAAGGGCAAACGTTTTGCAAGTCAGCCCTATAATGACAAAGACTCAGGATATTGGAAGTCATGTCCACCACATCAAGAGCCACCCTACTAAAAGTGCAAATTTCACAAGCTTTAAAAAAATAGTAGAGATTCATATCAGTTAAAAAATGAAACAATATTTCATCACTGTAACAAGAACATGACCTTAAAAATGATTTTGCAAAAAAGAAAAAAAAAATCTAAGCTGAACACCCTTCGCCCCTCTCAGAGGTAAGCATTCCTTGCCTCACCCACAACGCACTGTTCTCTCAGGGGAAGGGAACTAGTAATTACCCACTGTCTCCTATGGCCAGAGCCAGCAAACCATAGCCCATGGGTCAAACCTGCTCATGGCCTGTTTTTGTACAACCAGAGAGCTAAGGATGGGCTCTACATTCACAAGTTGTTGAAAGAAAAAGAAAAAACGATATTTGTGATAGTTGAAGGTTCTACGAAAATTCATATTTCTGTGTGCATGAATAAAGTTTTATTGGAACACAGTCACACCCAGTCATTTACATATTGATCATGACTGCTTTCACACTAAAATGGCGTAAGTCAAGGTACTGCAACAGAGACCCAATGGTCAACAAAGCCCAAAAATATTTAACATCTGGTTCTTTTTAGAAGTTTATATGCTAGGTACTACATAAATAGTGTCTAATCTACTTAGTTTACAAATGAGGAAACTACAGTTACAGGGTTTAAGTAATGTTAATAAAAGACAATGGTGTTAGATTTCAATCCTGAGCCCATTTCATGCCAAAGTTGCAACTCCAGAGTTTAGATTCACTTTGTGCCAGTATTACAGTTACTATGACCTCATCACCACTTTTCTATGCTAACATTACATAGAAAATTATGACATAGTTGATATGTCATAGTTGAATGAAACCATTTCTTCTCTGTGAGACTCAGCTCCTGGGTTCTACTACATACAAATAAAACCCAAAGTAAAACTTTCCATATATGCAGGGGTCCCTAAAAAGAGCAAGGCTTAAAGGAAAAGTGAAACAAAATTTGAAGATGGTTAAAAGTTTCCAGATTTTTTCTGGGCTTCTTTGCAGGTACTTCTAAGTAGAGCAGTTGCACTGAATTTCATTGTATCATTAGACATCATAGGGAGTACAGTCCCAGGGAAGGAAAAAGGACAACAAAAAGCCTGGGAAGGTTGCCCAGAGCTTCTCCTTATGGCCAGCAAGAATTTTGTTGTCTGGGTCCAGAAATCAAGTGCAGCTAATGGCTTTCTATGATTTTTAAATACCACCTGGCCCTCTGCCTGCCTCAGTGAAGGAAAAAGGCAGAATTACCCTAACCATGCTTGGGATCCTCACTGTTCTCCGACCCTGGGAAACAGCACTGGGCTATACCACCAGGCTCAGGACAGTCCCCATTTCTCTTGCTTTATCACCATTGCCTTCACCTAAGCAGTTTTGCAACACAAAGCCAAACCACTTGATTCAAGGGAAGAAACTGTCACAAAAATGATCAAAAACTTCCATAATACAAAGGCATTCCTCAAATGATAGATAAAATTAAGAATTCTCTTTTCCACAGGTTTGAAGAGAGTATGAAATTGTCTCCTTACTATTATGTGAGTCATACTGACTATAGACACACCCAAAATTATGGTTCCAGAATAACCATGTGTCTTAGCCACCTCCGAGGTCAGTCCAGAGGCCACAGACTTATAGAGAGTAGCCATATATTAGTCTTGCTCAGGACAGAGTGGGGAGACACTTGTTTCCTCGCAGTCTTGGGCCCCCTTTCAATTTACAGTGTCCTGGCTTAGGTGACGAGTGAAAGAACAGGAATGCTATCTCAAAGCTTCAACATCCTGACAATATTCACATAACACATCAATGAGTTCCTTCAAAACCCCCTTGAGTGAACCGAATGTTGGCTCCAAAGACATTAATCCTACTCCCCGGATCCATACAAGCTATCTTATTAGGAAAGAGGGTTCTGCAGGTGTGACTAGTTAAGGTTCCCAAGATGGAGAGGCTACCCTGGATTATACAGGGAGCCCTAGACACTATTGTATGTAATCTTTAAAGCGAGAAGTTTGGCAGAGCCAAGAGAAGAAAGGCATATGAAGATTCAGGCCAAGACTGGAGTGATGCCACCTCAAGCATGGACTGCTGGCAGCCCCTGAGAGCAAAAGAGTCAGGAAGGAGCCTCCCCCAGAGTTGCCAGAGGGAGCACAGCCCGGCCCACACCTTGATTTTGGACTTATGACCTCCAGAACTGTAAAATATATTTCTGTTGTTTTAAGCCACTCGGTTTGTTGTTCATTTGTTATAAGAGTGGTAGGAAATTAATGTCCCTGTCATGATTGCCTTTTTTCTATCGGTGCTCTCCAACAATAAGTGACATGGTTTCCTGAGCTGTCACATGCACTGTCTCCCAAATGTTATCCCATCCTTGCCTCTGCATTGTGGATAATGAAGCTCTTATGTCTTCTATTAGCTGTTAAGGTTGGAAAGACATGGAACACATGTTCAAAATGGCCCCAAATACAAAACACATGTAAATGTCTAACAATAGAAAAACTGGTAGCTAGCTAGTCAAACTATGCAGTTCTACAAAACAGTGAAAGCCACTAGGGTTTTCAGAAACCTGTAAGGCTCTTTTTGGTAACACGGTAACTGGGGGCAGTGCTGGCAATTAGGTGACAGAGGCTGGAAAGCCATTATAATTCATGCAATGCAAAGGGCAGAGGGGCAGACAGGGCTCGTTGCTCTATGACAATGACCTCATTGTGAATAAAAATAATTTGGGGTTACAAATTGTTCAGCAGTGGGACAGGGCCACCAAACAATAAAAGGAAAAATTTTCTGAAGAAGATAGAATGTATCAGGTATCTCAGAGCCAAATATGAAATGCAAAAAGAACATGATTAAAAACAGTCATGTGAGAATTCACCGAACCTTTTACCATGTGGAAGAGAATAAGTGGCAGAAAATGAGGTTTTTATGACATGGACAAGGATGAACATACTACACAATCTAGAGAAAGACACAGATGGGAGGAAAAGCTAAGGCAGACCATACTGATGGGACAAAATTAAAAACTGAAACTTAGCAGCTAAAAATACTACATAAAACTTTAGAATCTAGTTTAAAATAAAAAAAGCTGTATAAATAACAACTGGGAAGATATGGCTTCATAGCAGCTTATAGCCTACAAGCTCAAGTTTAAGTCATGGTGACAGACAGACAGACAGACACACACACACACACTCTACCAATGCTATTAATTGGATGTGGTTTGTACCCCCAAAGGTTCACGTGCCAGAAGCCTGCCCCCCCCCTTGTAGCAATGCTGAGGTGGTGGAAGACGTGGGGTCTAGGGTTGGGGGCATAGCTCAAGCAGTAAGAGCACCTGCCAAGCAAGTTCAAGGGCCTGCGTTCAAATCCCAGTACTGCAAAAGAAAAAAAGAAGATGGTTAGGTCATGGGGTGCCACCCTCAGAAGGGATTCATGCTAGTCTTCTGGTCTCTTGCAACACTGGGTTGCTATAAAAAACATGAGGCCAACTCCCCTCACTCACACATGTGGTTCCTTCTGCATGTGGCTAGTTCCCTTCTCCACCATGTTGTGGGGAACACCTGCCAGAACCAGGATGCCAGCGCCAGGCTGTTTGGATCCTCTAGCTATCAGAATTGTGAGCTAAATAAATCTCTTTATAAGTTATCTGGCCTCGGGTACTTTGTACAGCAATGCAAAATTAACTATGAAACTAATTAGTACTTTAAATGCAAAGGGGTCAGCAAACTGTGGTTCATGGCCCAAATCCAGCCAGTCACTTGTCGTGGTACTGCTTATGTGCTAATAATGGTTTTTACTGTTTAAACGGTTGGGGGAAAATCAAAATAATAATATTTTCAAACAAAAATATGAAATTCATATTTTGGTGTCCATAAATAATAGTCACACCCATTCATCTACACATTGCCTGTCGCTGTTTCTGAGGTACAGACTTGGGTAGGTGCAATAGAGATCGTACCATAATTCATAGAAAAAGTGGGCTAACCCTTAGAATGTATACAAGGCAAATCATATTTCAAGTGCTGATCCTCAGGGATCTTGGGTACCGTTTTCAGAAACTTGTGTTGTTTCAGAAATGAAACAATAGCTTAGAGGTGATTCCTGTAGTGGAATCTTCACAAAACTCACACCTACCCACAACTTCAGAATATGACCTCATTTTTGGAAACAGGGTCTTTGCACAGGTAATCAAGATCAAGATGAGTTTGTTCTGGATTAGGGGTAGCCCTGAAATCCAATGACAGTACAGAGTATCCTTTTAAGAGTCAGAAAAGGACAGAGAGACAGGGAAGAGACTATGTGAAGACAGAGACAGAGATCGGAGTGATGTGGCCACAAGCCAAGGGATGCCTGGAGCTACCAGGAGCTGGAAGAGTCAGGAAGGCTCCTGCCCTAGAGCCTGAGGAAGGAACAAGTCTCTGCTCACTCCTTGATCTCCAAAATCTGGTCAGTAGACCTGTGAGAAACGAAATTCCTGCTCTTTTAATCTAACCAATCTATGGTAATTTGTTTCAGCAGCCCTATCATACTAATGTAATCTCCTTCAAAATTCCCCTTGAACTACAACTTCTTCTGATGTATCCTGAAGGGTAAGACCAGCCGTAATTTCCTCAGCTTCTCCTGGAGACATGCAGAACCTCCTCCAAGGCTAATGTGGCTAAAAGGATAATTGACCAATATTAACTCTGTTATTCTTAAAAGACTAGAAAGAATCAACCAAATTGAGCTTAATTATACTTTTTGTTTTGGGAGAATTGTAGACTCAGATATACTTGTAAGGAACAATGCAGCAAAAATCCTATGGCCTTTTCACACTCTCCATGGTAACATCTTTAGCACAATTATTACACCTAGGACCCTGACACTGACCTGATTTAGTTGTTCCCCAGTATGACTTGAACTCACTGAGGGAAGGGTGGCATGTGTGCATCTATGTAGTCCTATTCACTACCAAAAACACACAACAATTCCATTGTGACAAGGATAATAAGGTATTTTAAGACCTGCAAAAATATGTGCTACCTATTTTGATATCTATAAATATTAATATTATGGTGGGGTTAAAGGCAAATGTGAAAAAGATGAAGTGAGAACACACATTTACATGATCCTTAAACGAGAAGGCCAACACACCTTCTAGACATTCTAATCAAGGTGGCATGTGAGGAAACCATAGCGACCCCAAGCAGGTTTCTAAGGCAGGACACACCTCTCCTACCTTGTCCTTTTTGTCTTGCCGGGCGTATGGGAAACACGGGATCACTGCGGTCACCCTGGAGGAAGAGGCAATTTTGCACGCGTTGATCATGATAAGCAGTTCCATCAGGTTGTCGTTAATTTCACCACATCCACTCTGGATGATATAGACATCTTCCCCTCTCACACTTTCACCAATCTCCACGCTGAGAAGAGAAAAATGCCAACGGTTAATATAAAGTATATATTTATTTACTTTATTTATTTATTTCTTTTAACCGTCTCTCAGGGGTCCCTGAGACACCCACAAGTTCGATGATCCAGCAGGTCCAGTCCCAGGACTCAGCACAGTCACACTCATGACTATGATTTACGAGAGGGAAAGGACACAGAGCAGAGAGTCAGCAAAGGGAAGGAGTACATGATGGGAAGCTGGGGAAACCGGGAGGTGAGCTTCTAAGTGTCCTCTCCAATACAGATCAACACTCAATCTAAAGACTGACTGCTACATTTAAGTGTGCAAATGATGGAGAGCTGAGCAAGGTAGTAAGCTGAAATTCATGTCCACATTTTCCTCTCATGCACAAGTTGTGTGTGTGTGTGTTTTCCCTGTAGGTAATTATCTTACCTTTTCCTCTGCTGAATTTTCTAAGTACTAAAGTCACATTCCCCTGTGAACACTTCGTAACAATTTCAGTCTCTCAATGTCACAGGCTTCAAGTCCCATCTCCATTTCATCATCCCGCAGATGTCCCTCCCAGAGCTGGACACCCTGCTTCATCTTCCTGCCTGTGCCCAGCTGCTGTTCGAGGATTCCCTTCACCTCTCTTCTGCACCGGATTTCCCATTTTCTATATCCTCTTTCTTGTTCTGCTGGTTGGCACCCTCCTGGAGCTTCTTGAGAAGGTGTGAGGAACAGCTAACTTTTTGAAAATTGCATGTCTGAAAATTTCTGCATTTGCAGGGTATAGGATTCTCTTATTTAATGCGAGAAGGAGTCAGGCCATCCCTGGGCATGTGCCCTCCATGGGCAGAAAGGCAAAATAGTGTCATGTGCTCCAACAGGTTCCTCACAGAGCACCGTAGAGCCACACATAGGATCAGCTCTGCTATAACAATGGTTTTGAAAAGACAAACTTGTTCCAATGATTGACGTACTTGGAACAATTTGAGCACCATGTGAATTCATTCTTGCTTATACACAACCTCTTATCTTGAGACAGAATGAAGAAAAATAGGCTGAGGATGTAGTTCAGTTGTAGACTACTTGACTAGAGTATGCTCAAGTCCCTGGGTTCGATCCCCAGTACTGGGAAAAAAAAAAAAGTAAAAGAAAAAGAAAGAAAGCAAAAGGAAAAAAAAGCAGAAAACTGCACTGTGCCCAGCTGAATGAAGCCACTTAAAAAATACATAAACAGAGCCAGGCAGGTGTTTCTCACCTGTAATCCCAGCAGTCAAGAGGCTGAGATCAAAAGTTCACGGTCCGCCTGAGCTACATAGAGTTTAAGGCTAGCTTGGGCTACATAGCAAGAAATTCGTAAACATACATACGCATGCACCTCACAAAGACAATGAGCCACATTCATGCACATCTGGTGTCCCAACTTGTCTCACAATTTCAGATGTCACTCCTTCTACCATCTCATAATAACTCAAAAGCTGCAACCCTTCTGAGAGCCACTTTTCATCGGAAAGGACCATGTTTACTATAGTATTTAGGTATTATAGAAGTGTTACACTGTTTGTATTACACTCCTGTGTTTTTACTGTGTCACTGATGAAGGTTTTGAATATTATGCCCCAATTCTATTTTCCTCATAATCCCTGTGGCCTTTTTCTTCCACCCCCCCCCCCCATTTTTTGAGACAGGATCTTGGTAAATTGCTCAGGCTGCCCTGGGACTCATTATGTAACAAGGGAAGCTAGCCTCAAACTTGAGATCCTCCTGCCTCAGCCTCCCCAGTGTTGGAGTTACCACTCCTCGATTTCCCTATGGCTTTCAATTGCAGAATTTTGCATAGCATGGTAATTTTTAGGAATCTCTATGTCACATTTATAGCAGAACTGACTGGTAGCAAATTCATCCAAAAATGGAATAAAATGAATCCACAAGTGAGGCATGTGAATAAAATTGCTTCTCCTTTCTCCTGTTCTCAGAAGCCAATTATACCCAATAAAATTATTTTATGAGAAAAGCCAATTATAACTAATGAAAACTTAAAAACAAATCCATATTTGTGATACCACATAATAGTTTCTGTAAACGAACAGAAGCTTATACTCAACTCTAAAGAGAATAACTGAAAGTCAAAAATGAACTGTTTTAAGTTGACATGTTCTAAAAATGTTTCTTTTTTTTTCAGTACTGGGGCTTGAACTTAGGACCTCATGCTTGCTAGACAGGTTCTTACCACTTGAGCCACTCTACCAGCCTAAAAATGCTTTGATAACATTGCATTGTGTTCTTGCATGTTCTCTGTTATTGATGCCTACAGTACACTGTCAACCTCAGGATGAAAGTGCAGAAAGAATTCTATGTGCACATCCTCCTGTTTGGAGTTCTAAGGAGTTAACATAACTCCCCTGTGACCCTATACCAAGTGTAGAATGAACTTAATTTGGAAATCCAGTATTACATAGCTCAGGGGTTGGTTGACAAAACACAGCACACAACCTGTTTTTGTATGGCCCATGAGCTAAGAATGATGTGGTAAGCAGAACAATGTCCCCCTTAAAGACATCCACACCCCAATCTTTTGAATATATTAGATTACATGGCAAAGGGAACATATATTTGCAGATGGAATTAGGATATCAATCAGATGACCTTAAAGATTATACTGGATTATTTAAATCGGTCTGACATAATCACAAGGGTCCTTAAAATGGAAGAGGGAAACAAAAGAGGTCAGAGTCAGAAATAGAGGTGATAAGTGAGCTTTGAAGCTGGACAAAGGGGCTAAGAGCCCAGGAATGTGGGCTGCCTCTAAAAGCTGGAAAAGGCAAGGGAATGGATTTGCCTCTAGAGCCTCAGGAGGGAGTGCAGTGCTGCAGAGGCATGCAGCATCTTCTAACTTACAGAATTGTAAGATACGGCAGCAATGACTAAAATATTCACAATCCGACCCTACAGAAAAAGTTTCCCAACTCCTGGTCTTATGTTTATTCCACAAGATTAGATTTTTTTGGCCTATTTTGCCTCACTTAGGAACTGCAATCCTCAGATGACTAGCAGTTCAGGTGAGGATGGAGTCCCAAAGCCAGCCCGGCTTCTACTCTTAAAGCAGATCTCCCCTGATCTGTACTGTATGTCTTTTACAGATAGTGACTAGAAGAAAGCATTCATTTGCCAGGCAGTGGGGGCTCTTTTCTGAACCCTGAAGCATGGAACTGACTCAACAGAGTGGCTGTGGTAATTAGAAGATGGCCTCAGATTTCTTAACACTTCCCAACAGCAATCAGGGTCTGTGTCCCCTTCCCTTGAATCTGGGAGGGTTTTGTGCCTTAACCAACAAACAGAATATGAGAGAAGTGATGTTGTGCCAACTTCCAAACCCGGACTTTTTGAAACACTCTTGGTTGAAAACGCAGCTTCCATGCTAAAAGGAAGCCCACAGACAGGTCTACAGGAAGAGGAACTGAGGACCCTACCCAAGATTCCAGGCAAAAACTAGTGGAACTTAGGTCATCTTCAAAATGGATTGTCCAGCCCTAGTAGCCAACACAACCCTTCCTTGCCCACCCTGCTCAAACTGCACAAATAAACAATTATTGGCTTAAGCCACTAAGTTCTAGGTGGTTTAGCATGTGGCAATAACAAGTGCCTTGGTTCCCGCAGTACAGCTAAGGACCCTAACAGCAGGTTAACTGACCAGGGTAAAATGGTACAACAGATACCTCCCGATATCATCAAGAATGTTGGCCTAGGAGGTCACTGAAGGATTTCCAGGAACCGTAGAAAAGGCGTAGCAGGCCTCTCCCTACACATCTGAAATGATTTAGAGATAAGAAGATAAAAGCCAGAGGCTTTATGTCTGATTAAGTAGCATTTATAAAAACAAGGACTTGAACCTGTCATCCCAGCTAGGCAGGAAAGTACCAACAGGGGGATCTGGTCCAGGCCGGCCCCAACAGAAAGCAAGATTCTAACTCAAAAATAACTAATGGAGAAAGAGTAGGCAGAGTGGGTCAAGTGGTAGAAAGTGGCTGCCTAGCAAGTGTAAAGCCTTGAGTTCAACCCCCCCATTACCACTAAACAAAGGTCTGGGAGGACAGATGACCAGGAGACAGCAAACCAGATTTCTGATCCTGACTCAGGGAGAGATTGGGGAAAGGGTCCCCGTTCTTGAGTTGAATCTATTTTCTCTTCCTTTTGGCCTTTGGGTTCTTATTTTAGGACCGTAGTTCCAGTACCTGGAACAGCTCTGCCTTCCCACAAGTCATGGGAAAAAGTCAGGAAGTTAACCATTTACATTGTACTCCTTAAGAGCTTAAGAACATAAATGTAACTATCTAAGCAATTCCCAGACTCCATGCTGAATGGGTTTTGAAGACACGATGTCTAATTATCAAATGGTGGTTAAAAAATATCAGAAACGAATGAAACTGAGTCTGCTTTATATCGAAAACAAATAATCACACTTGAATGCTTGAGTGCGCTAGATTCAAGTTCATTATTTTTAGCAGAAATCCAACATTGACTTAGCAACAAACTGGTCTAAATTAAGCACACTCTTTAGCAAAGGATTGTGCTGCACTGAGTAACATGGAAAGGCAATGTAATTGAACTTCACCTAGAAATATCTCTTTTACTCTAAGACAACACGGTCAGAACAGAAACATTCTCCTGGTGATCTTAGAGCTCCTGAAACTTGAACAGGACCAGCAACATAATGCAACATTTGAACCTAGTTGTGACTTTCCCTAGAGCCCTTGACCATCCTCCTGGACGGCTGTGTTAAACAACTCTGTCACGTCTAATTCTTTAGTCCCAGGTTTCCAAGCAGTAACACCACCTGCCACTCACTCAAATTTCTTCACTTATATTATCATCTGAGCTGTGTAACTGGAATTTACCACCTGAAAGAAGTCACATGGGATTGACATAACCTAACAGCTGACTGGTCAAGAAAAAGCATCTCTGACATCAGTATCAACACAACTCTTGCTAAGAAATTTTTGCTTAACCCCAAATCACTCACATTTTCTTCTATATTTTCTTCTCAAATTTTTTAAGTTTTAGGTTTTATGCTTAAGTCTACGATCCATTTCAAGTTAATTTTTGTAAATAGTGAGAAGTCTGGATGGGCTTTCTTTCTTTCTCTTATGGCTGTCTAACTGTTCCAATAATTTCTTAAAATTGGTTGAATTGGAAATTTGCCAAAGATACAAAAGTTATCTGTAACTGTGTACACTTAACCTTACTAGACAAAGGGGAAGGGGGATGAGACCAACTTGAAATTGGTCAAAGAGCTTTGTGGACTTCGGCAGGTGGAAAAAAGAGCCCAGCTTCTGAAGAGGCCACCTCTGGACCGCAGTGACCATAAGTGACCACTTCTTGGGGACTTGAGAAATGGATGGAATTTACACCACACTAGGGCCTTGCTGCTGTATACTGCTGAGTACAGAAACACAAAGAAACTGCACACCCATCATATTTGAGACAGCAACACTGGAGGAAGTCTAGGGGACGGAGGCCAGCACGTGCGTCCTGCGTTGCGTTCTCACGCGCTTTCAAACTTGTGCGGCACAACCTCACCCTCTGGATAAGGCAGCGCAGAGCACCTCGGCTGCTCTGGAGTCACCTGGGGAGCTGGAAGAACATCAATCCCAGGCCCGCTGGATCAGACCCTTTGGGAACAAGCCCGAGAAAGCTGCGTTTGAAATGTCCCCAGGTAAATCCTGGGCAGCTAGGGCACCGGACTTGTGCGGAACCTTCCGTGCCACTCACGGGTCTGGGGTTCAACCTTGCAGGGATGGGAAACTGCCAGGCCGACCCAGGGAGGTTCCTCCACTGCTCCCGGCACCGACAGGGTTCCCGCTGGCTGCGTCCACAGTCTCTCGGACGATCTATGACCGCCCCGATGTCGCCCTTCCGGACTGGGGACGCCAGGCCAGGCGGTGAGACTGGGAGGACCGGGACACATGAGAGTGGACGGGTCGCCGCAGTCCAGGGGCCAGAGGCCCGGCCGCAGGAGGGTCACCCCCGGGCTCCACGGGGACCCCGGGGCGGCGGGCGGGCACCTCTCCTGGACTTCTCCCCGGGCGCAGCCGCGGTGGCTCAGAGGCCGCCTTGCCGCCGTCCCGCCCCGGAAGGGGGGGCGCGGCGCCCGCGGAGGTGGCCCGGGCACGTCGGCCCCTGGCCCGGCCCCGCAGCCGCGCGCCTAGCGCCGGTCCCGGCCTGGCCCCCACCTGGTCTCCTGGTTGCTGAACTTCTTGGTGACCACCTTGCCCAGCTCCAGGCCCAGGCGATCGGCCACGCGCTGGGACAGGTCCTGGTGCGAGCTGCCGCTGAAGAGCACGATGTTGGGCATGGTGGGGAGCGGGTTCCGAGGGGCGCGCGGAGAAAGCGACAGCGACAGCGACACAGACGGCTGCTGCTGCGGGAGCGGGAAAGCGAGGCGGCAGGACCTAGGGTAGGGGAGGAGCAAAGGGGGAGGAGCTGGGGGAGGAGCCGGAGGAGCGGGGAAGAGAGGAGGAGCCCAAGTGGCGGGGGAGCCCGAGCGCGCCGGGAAGCAGCTGCTGAACACACAGCCCGGCTGCAGGTTGGAACGCACTGGGTGGTCCCGAGGCACCCAGTGCCCTTGCTCCAAAGGAGAGCTCCAAGGCCACCTCGCTGACCTGCCTTGCGGGGGAAAGCCAATGACCCCGATTCACTGGGCACAGAGAGAATGCGACAAGGGGTCATGGAGGTGTCTCGCAGTCAAGGGTGACCCCCCAACCGGAAGGCCTGCACCTAGTGTAGACCACTGATGGTCAACTACATCATCCTCTGCAAAGCATGGCCCGTGGGCCAGGCGCACAGAGCTTGCCTACGTTTGTACCAGAAAGCTAAACCAGTCTGCCCCTTTGAACCCCAATTAAGAGGAATATCCCCCCAAAGAATTCCTTTTCTCTGTTTTAGATGTGTACTACAAAAAAAATTTACTCAAATATTACTGCATTTTGGATTTTGTCAATAAAAACTGAAAATTTGTTTTCTTTCTTGTCCCTACATAATTATCTTCCCTTTTTGCCTCTTGGTCCAAAAAGCCTAAACTATTTGCAATCCGGTCCTTAATAGTTAACTGTGCTGCTGCTTAAACTACAGAGTTGCCGGCATCCTTGAAAAAGCCAGTAATGCCAGCAATCAATTGACCCCTGACCACAGGTGGCTCATTGCATCCAACCAATCCACCCAGATTCCTCACTTGCAGATAGATGTGGTCCTTGGGCCAGCCTCACAACTTCCTTTCTGTTGTGTTCTCAGGTGCCTGATCCCAGAATCACTAACCGTCCCCAAATAAGCCCCCAGCCTCAGTCCCTCAAGACCTCCCTCACTTCCCTCCTGGCATGGCAAAAAACAGCAAAAAGGTTTTCTCAGGAAGATAATGCAGTATCAGTGCCAACCTCTGGAAACAAACCAAGTATAGGGGAGGGGAATGAGCGTGTCCCTGGAAGGCTGAGCGCTGGTGATGGTGGTCACAGTTTTAACAGCTCACTGAAGACAGATTACACCTGAGTGAAATGGCTGGGGTTTCCTGACGTTTGGCAGGAATTAGCTGGCCATCAACAGCAAAGGCCACTTGTGGTCGACTTGTAGCCTCCTCTAACCCAAGTTCATAATGTTGGAATTTGGGAGATTATTGAGATTGTTCATGTCATTGAAACCTTTCGTCTGGGTCCTTGTACTTTGCAACTTGGGTTACCTTGCACAGCGAGTGTTTTTTGTTTTGTTTTCTTAAGCTCTTAACTGCCTTCTTAGCAAACAGTTGTCCTAGCCAGAGGCACCAGTAGCTCATGACTGTAATCCTAGCTATTTGGGAAGCTGAGATCTGGAGGATCACTGTTTGAGTTCCGCCTGGGGGGAAAAGTTCCTGAGACCCCCATCTCAACCAATGGCTGAGCATGGGTGGTGCTGCATGTCATCCCAACTGTGTGGAAAGCATAAAATAGGAGGATTGTGGTTGAGGCCAGCCTGGGCAAAAAGCAAGATCTTATCTCCAAAATAGCCAGAGGAAGAAGGGCTGGAGGTATGGCTCAAGCAGTAGAGTACCTGCCTAGGAAGTTGTCTAAAGTACTATGTCCAGTAGCGTTTCTGCCCTTTCTCATTCTGCTTACAAAGGTGTGTATGCCCAATAATATTAAAAAATTTAAAACCCTACCTGTAATGGTTTATTATCTCCACTCAGTCACGTGCAGCATAGCTATGTTTCGGTCCATGACGGCCCACATATACAAAAGTAGTCCGTAAGATGATATTGCTTCATGATGTAGCTGCCTTAGTTCGTGTAAGTACACTCTATGATGTTCACATAAGGATGAAATCACCTACTGATACATTTCTCACACAATATATCCCAAACGTTAAGCAACACATGACTATATTTCATAATAAATTAAATTAAATTTACATATTAAGTTACCATAACAATGAGATTTATACTCAATCCTGAGCCATATGTCTAAAATTTTCATGGAATGAGTATGCTAATGTAATTATATTTAAACTCCCCTGGTAAAATTTACTACCAGCAATATTACTGTAATTTTTATGCCCTTAAAATTTCTCTCAATAGATAAAATTGATTAATAATGGGATTACTCTAAATGTATACATGTTCTTCTCAGGGGGGGAGTAGCTTCCTGTTAGCATTCTTTGATGACAGGATTGGTGATTTATAAAATAGTATTAAGCCCCTGGTTTCTGGGCTAATTGATGGATAGGAGTTTAGAAACTTGTATTGAATTGTGAGTTGTGACACACAATGACCTTGACGGTACCAGGAAGAAGCAATATCTAGGTTGGGGAGACTAAGAAAATGGTTGTTGGTTCAACAGTTTGATGTGTTTCTATGGTTACATGCTGAGTGTCAACAAGGGGAAATGTGCCATTGCCATAGACGAGAATACTAATGAGGATCAGAAAAATCATGACCAGTAAATGGGGATGTTGCTCAAGTAGTAGAGCCCTTGCCTTGAATGCCTGAGGCCCTGGGTTCAATCCCCAGAAGACATCCTAAAGGACTAGAGCAGGTGGAAGGCACATGTCTATTTCAGGCAGGTTCTGAATTTAGGGCAGTGGATATTACTCAGTCCTTTCTGACTCAGGGCATCTTCCACACCAACTGCCCCAATCTGGTTGCCTGGGGAATGGTTCTGATTCTGGGTTACCAAATGGAGGATTTGGTACTGCTCCCAAAGAAAATCATCACAAGTAACAGACTCTGCAGACAGTCATCACTGGGAGGTGTACAGGGTTAAGAGAGCAGCTGTAGAAGATTTTATCTGTGCAAACACTTTCTCTTCCAAGTGCTTAATCCATAGAAACCAGAAACCTTTATCTAACCCAAGGTCCTCAACCTCAGTACAGCCAACCCTCGGGCTGAGTAATTGTAATTCTTTGTGGTGGCACCACCCTGGCATTGGAGGATGCTTAGCAACACCCCCAGGTCTCTGCACAATAAATGCCAGTAGCCCCTCTCCACCAGTTATGACAACCCAAAATGTCTCCAGATGTTGCCAAATATCTTTCTGGAGTCAAAATCACCCCAGGTTAAGAATCATTTTTCTGATGAGCCTGTGGCCCTTTCTTCCTCTCTGTGGACTTTCCTTAGTGATTGCTCAAGCTTCCTCACAGCATAGCTGCAGGGTTCCAAGGAGTCTTCCAAAAAGATAAGCCTCAGTAAGCAAATGCTAATCAGCCTTCTGCTTCACCTTGCTTGTTAATATCCCATTGGCCAAAACAAGTCACACGGCCAAGATCTGAGTCAATGTGGTATGAGGAAACAGAAGAATACTGGATCCACCAAAGGCCTGCCACAGTGGACTTACCTCTTGAATTAAATGTGGAATTGTTAGAGCCTCCAGGAAAACATGACACATGCTTAAAGACTCAAGACTCAGAGGAGAAAAAGTACTTTTACTCAGTGTATACATGATTTCAGATCTTGGACATAATGAAAAATATATCATTTTAAGATAAAAGGTTGGTGGAAAAATTTAAATGAGATAATTTTTGCTGACTTTTATCTTCATTGCCTAATGGATAAGAATGAAATAGGAAAACAATAATTTGAATTTGTGAACAATTTCACATCTTGTATTTACCATTTCATTTAGCCAAGTTCTTTGCACATAGTAAGATCACTAAATATTTGCAGAATGAATTTATTCCTAACTATCCCAGGGCTGAGTAATGAAAGAAATGACCCAAAGTCACATGGTTATTGAAAGGCAGCAAAGGAATAAAACTGCAGGTCTTCTAGTCTAATCTCGAGTAGCACTGTGTAAAAGACATATAATGTGATTTACTTTTTTAGCAGCCATATTTTAAAAGAATATAAAGAAACAGGTTCAAGTAACTTTTATAATATACATTGTTTAATCCAAAATATCCCAAAAGTTATCATTCCAACATGTAGTGTTTTTTACCAGGGATATGGCAAATAATATATAGCATTATGAAACACTAAAGCTTATAAGCAATTTAATTTTAAAAATAAGTTAAAGTGGATTTAGCTATATTCCTTTTCACTTACAATCAAGTTGCTTTTCCTGATTTTAATTTCTACATCTTTATTTTTTTGCATTCTGTTACTTAAAAATTCAAAAACCAGAGAGGAGTGTATAATGAACACAAAAATATTGTGTTCAATATATCCATCACCTAGACTTTGCAACTATCAAAATTTTGCCACATTTTCTGAAACAGTTTAAAGTAAATTATAGATTTGTATTCACCTGTAAATTCTTTAGTTTGTATCTGTAAAAAGGTAAGTATATCATACTATATACAAAAAATAACTTGAAATTTATCAAAGACCTAAATGTAAGAGTTAATACTACAAAACTCTTAGAAGAAAACATAGTTATGAATCTTTATGAGCTTGGGTTAGGCAATGATTTCTTTAAAAAAAAAAAAAGAAGCAGCAGCAATAAAATACATATAAACTGGACATCAAAATTAAAAACTTGTGCTTCAACGGATCCTATAAAGAAAGGGAAAAATAATCCAAAGAATGGGAGAAAATGTTTGCAAATCGTGGATATCATGAAGCACTTTTATTTACAATCATCAAAAATGGCCACAATTCAATAATAAAAAGACAAATAACCAAATTTAAAAGTTGGCATGGATGTTTATAGCAGCTTTCTTCATAATTGTCAAAACTTGGAAGCAAACAAGATGTCCTTCAGTAGGTGAATTGATAAATAGACTATCATACATCCAGACAATGGAATACTATTCAGAGCTAGAAATAAATGACCTATTAAGCCATGAGAAGACACAGAGGAAACTTAAATATGTATTGTTAAGTATATGACTTCGACTCCATGTCATTCTGGAAAAGGCAAAGCTACAGAGACAGAAAAAAGATTAGTGGTTGCCTGGGGTTT